CTTTTTTTCTTTTTTTCTTTCTTTCTTTCTTTCTTTCTCTTTCTTTCTTTCTTCTTCCTTCCTTCCTTTCTCTTTATTTTTTTCCTTCCTTGTTTCCTTCCTTCCTTCCTCTCTCTTTCTCTCTTTCTTTCAACAAAATGATGACTTAGAGTTATTTGCTTTTCTTTTGAATCTTGTCACATCAACAGCACCCTTACCACAAAGTGCAATGTGTGCTCACTGTACCACGGCAGGAGTATGACCCTGATTCCAATCCAGGGTGTGGGTTTTTTCCCCACACCAAGGAATCTGCTGGCACAATTGTCAGTAACAATTATCCCACCGTCTACCTGGAGAGAGGTGAAGGGTTCAGTCCTGTAAGACTGCTCACTCTACCTCCAACTAGTTCAGACCTCAATCTCAAGTCTGGGCTGTCACTTGTGTCTCTAAACCACTGGCTGCAGATCACAGGTTCCCCCAGGATCCCCTCCTTGGGTTGATTATTTTGTTAGGGTGGTTCACAGAACTCAGAGAAAGATTTTACTCATTAAATCACCGGTTTATTATAAGAGTATAGAAGTCCAAAACAGTTACATGGAAGAGATGTATATGGCGTGGTATGGGAAAGAGCACAGAGCTTCTGTGCCTTCTCTGGATGTACCACTCCCCCCAGGTCTCCACATGTTCATCCACCTGGAAGCCCTGCAAACCCTGTCCTTGAGGGTTTTTATGGCGGCTTCATTTCATAGGTGTGGTTGATTAAATCATTGGCCTTTAGTGATTGAACTTAAACTCCTCCCCCCTCTCCCCTCCCGGGAGGTGGGGTTGGGTGTGGGACTGAAAAGTTCTAACCCCCTCATCCCAAGGTTGGCTCATCTGGCAACCACCCTCCATGTTTAGTTTCCAAAAGTCACCTCATTAACATCACAAAAGAATCTCGAAACCTCTCCACACCTTGGAACTTCCAAGGATTTGGGGAGCTCTGTGCCAGGAATGGGATGAAAATATGTTTCTTATTATAAATCGCTGTATCACATGAGGAAAAGCCGGTCACCATGGAGACAGTGTTTTTAAAATCAATGTGTTATGAGCACACCTGATAAGCCGGGCTGGCTTCATCACTGGGAAATCTGTGCAGCACACAAGGTTTCATGTTCCAAATGACCTCACGCTTGGTTTCATGCTTTTCTGTTACCATCTTGATAGTCTTAATAATTTTATCCCTGAACTTGGGTCTTGTAAGCGAAGGCCCCTGGGGCAATGGGACAAGTGTCTGAGCAGAGGAGTATGGAAATATGTCTGTATGTCCATGACCGAGTAAGTAGAGTTTCTGACAACCCCGAGAGGCCAGGCTTTCCTTCAAGTAGAATTTGTTTCAGATGCAGAAAGAAGGCAGCGGTGTTCTAAGAAACATGAACTTCCAAGGAAACTTATCGCATATTGTTATATCCCTGTATGCTGAAAACAATGCTATAGAAAGATAGGACAACTCCCTGCTTCTTTTCCTGTCTCTTTGTTAATCATCAGTATGCCAATGGCATGCATTGGTAGAATGTGAGCATACAGTAAAAACTCGGTTTGCGAGCATAATTTGTTCTGGAGACACACTTGTAATCCAAAGCACTTGTATATCTGAGGGGATTTCAAGAACCGTTGGCTCGGTTGTAATCACGTGACATTTGGCGTCACGCAGGACTCATGTTGCAAGACATCGCTCAGCTTATCAAGTTAAAATTTATTAGACATGTTGCCTTGTCTTGCGGAACACTCGCAGAACAAGTTACTCACCATCCAAGGTTTTACTGTTTAAAGAAGTGAAAGAAAATGAGTTGAGTTGGTTTGATGCAGTGTTTCCACTGTTTTGGTAAGAACAAAATACACACATATTTGTAGGGGCTAACAAAAGGCAGCCTGCCCCAAAATATGCTACTTTGGCATACAGACTATTTTAAATAAAAGCTACTTAAGAAAGCCTGTACAAGAAGGACATTCGAACCCTCCTCTCTGTCCCTCTGAAAGCAGAAATAAATCTCCTATGTGAAACATACCCTCTCTGTACCAAGAGGTAAAGAAACATCCTTATTACCAGAGATGGGAAATTTACAGCCAAGAAAGTCGTGTAAACAACTCGTTACTTTTTACTGATTTACTACCTTAGCCCTAATTCGGCTTAGAATTCCTTACTAATTGAAGCTCCCAAAGTTAAGTTTCCTTTGTCCTGTCTACTGCTCACAGATTTATTTTCTCTTTGTCCAAGAAGTATAAAAACTGCCTGCCTTGGTCATTTCTTTGGGTCTCACTTTCATTATTGGGTCTCCATGAGCATGTAGGAAGACTTTGTTGGGTTTTTTCTCCTGTTAATCTGACTCACGTAAATTAATTCTTAGTCTAGTTGGAAGACCTTGAAAAGTCAAGGAAGAATTTTTTCCTTTCTTTCACATGTATCAGCTATGAAATATAAATTGTGTGGGGCGCCTGGGTGGTGCAGTCGGTTAAGCGTCCGACTTCAGCCAGGTCACGATCTCGCGGTCCGTGAGTTCGAGCCCCGCGTCGGGCTCTGGCCTGATGGCTCAGAGCCTGGAGCCTGTTTCCGATTCTGTGTCTCCCTCTCTCTCTGCCCCTCCCCCGTTCATGCTCTGTCTCTCTCTGTCCCAAAAATAAAAAAAAATAAAAAATTAAAAATAAATAAATAAATAAATTGTGTTATTTTGGAGATTCTGTACACAAGTTAAATGTTCTTATATTCGAGTTTAAAATGGGTATTTCCCAACATAAAAATGAATGGCAAAATTTATGCCAATAACTCAAAATTTTAATTTTTATTTACTGCGAATGACATTAAACAACAAGTAAGAAAAACATGACAAGTAGAGTGTATGACTGCAGAAGACAGGAAAACAACTTTATATTTTAGTGCCTTGAATGACACTTTTCCCCCCTGATTTTTGAACAAGAAGACTCCACATTTTCATCCTGCACTTACACCTGCAAATTATGCACCTGGCCCTGTATGCTGTGTATTTGGAAGAGTATTTGAACTCCCATGTGACTGCTGTGTTGTTGGGGAGAATTCCTGCCTTCACCGGAACTTCTCATCAGAATCAGACCACATATTACAGAAATAGGAGAGCCACTCTCCTTTTAGGGAATGTAACATCTATTAAGACTCCTTACCATACATTTTGATCCAGAAACATAGAAGGACACAGTAAGTGTAATGAATAATGGGGTTTTGCAGTGATGGTGGAATTCAGAGCTGATGGCCAAGAAAGAATTCTTGAAGACATCTTAGGTGCAAAAAGGTGATTTTATTAAAGCATGGGGAAAGGACCTGTGGACAGAAAGAGCTGCACTGGGGTTGTGAAGAGTGACTGGTTATATATACTATGGAGCTGGGGGACATAAAGTCAAGTTTCTTAAAGGGATTTCCATATGCTAAAGAAGAGTCACAGAGTCCTGGAGGCCTAGCTATTGTCAGGCTAAGATTGTTTTTCCCTCTAGCAAAGCATTATCATTAAGACAGTAGAAAGTTCCTGGAGATTAGGCTATTGATAAGATTACCTTTTTCTTATAATTTACTAAGATATTTGTAAACTGATGGAGACTCTACCAGTTTAGCCATTTGTTTTCTGTCCTTTCCTTTGTTCTCAGGCAGCCAGAAGTACCCGAGGAATGTCACACATATCCCAGCTGGGGGTGGGGGTGTGGTAGTTTATACTTTGCCCTCAGCCTGCCTTATGCTCCCTCATCAATGTTCATCAACCTCGTGAGATTTTAAATTCTAGACCAGGTCTTGGTGTGTTGAATCTGGTCTGCCTCCTGGTTTCTTTTTTTTTTTTTTTCAACGTTTATTTATTTTTGGGACAGAGAGAGACAGAGCATGAACGGGGGAGGGGCAGAGTGAGAGGGAGACACAGAATCGGAAGCAGGCTCCAGGCTCCGAGCCATCAGCCCAGAGCCTGACGCGGGGCTCGAACTCACAGACCGTGAGATCGTGACCTGGCTGAAGTCGGACGCTTAACCGACTGCGCCACCCAGGCGCCCCATGCCTCCTGGTTTCGTATAGCTCACGAGCTAAGAATGTTTTCATATTTTTAAATTGTTGAAAAAAAATCAAAAGAAGAGTAGTATTTCATAATACGTCAAACTTATTTGCAATTTGGGTTTTAGTGTCCATAAATAAAGTTTTTTGGAACACAGTGATGCTCACTCATTTATCTATTGTCTGTGGCCTTTTTCTGCTACAATGGCTTAGCCAAGTAGTTGAAATAGAGACCTTATGCCTGCAAAGCCTGAACTTTTGCTCTCTGGGGCTTGACAGAAAAAGTTTGCTTTAGAAAAAAAGCTATTCACACAAAGTTCATTGCTATGGATCTTTCCAGATATAATCCTGATTGTATGGGGAACAGTACCCTGGGAAGTATCCAGATCTCCAGAGTTTGATAGGTTTGCCAGTAGAATACCAGGAATGCGCCATCTAGTGATGGGATTTTTCAATCACAGGAGAATTTCTAATTTTTTTCCAGATTATTTGCCCATGTAAAAATGGTGAGATACTTAAAGATTACCTAGGGGCGCCTGGGTGGCTCAGTCGGTTAAACGTCCAACTTTGACTCGGGTCACGATCTCGCGGTCCATGAGTTCGAGCCCCGCGTCGGGCTCTGGGCTGATGGCTCGGAGCCTGGAGCCTGCTTCCGATTCTGTGTCTCCCTCTCTCTCTGCCCCTCCCCTGTTCATGCTCTGTCTCTCTTTGTCTCAAAAATAAATAAACGTTAAAAAAAATTTAAAAAAAGATTACACCTAGTGGATGTTAATAATGCCATGTGGTATTGACTATAATTTAAAACTAGAGTGAAAGTCAATGAAAACAGATTCCATAAATATATCCCTATGCATGTAGAAAAAACATAAATCTTGGACAACTATTAGTCATGAGTGAATGGAAATGAGTGCACAATCACTTTTTTATTTATTTGAAAACAAACACCCAACACCCTGTAAAAGTGAACTAAGAAACCAGGTTATTTTTGTTAAGTGATTTATCATTAAAGGTAGAAAATAATAATTTTCTTGATATTTAGAATAATGCAGTTGTGAAGAATCCTCTCCCAAATTGTTCTTTTCTCAATGGTGGCTAGAAAGGAACCCTTTGTTCTGTTTTGTTACTGGTCATTTTAGATGTCTTTTCTTCAATGGAGTGGACTCTCGATGAAAGAACTTTACCACGTTGATCTATCTCTTCAACCACTGTCTTTACCAATGTGGTTTTGGATAACTCTAGAAATAAAACACCTGTGAATACACATATTCCAGCTAAAAGATTACATGATGAAGAATTCAAGTGGTGGTTGTAATATAATATACTATGTACATTTTTGGTGAGAGAGCATGTGTAGATTTACAATAATAGTTTGCGTGGGCGGGGGGGGGGGCCGGGGGGGATGCGCCTGGGTGGCTCAGTTGGTTAAACATCTGGCTTTGGCTCAGGTCATGATCTCACGCTTCATGAGTTCAAGCCCCGGGTCAGACTCTGAGCACACAGCTCAGAGCCGGGAGCCTGCTTTGGATTCTGTATCTCCCTCTCTCTCTGTCCCTCCCCTGCTTGTTCTCTAAAATAAATACATAAATAAATAAAACATTAAAAAAAGACTTATAGTAATAGTTTGGGGTAATTTCATCCACTTAAAAATAATATTTCAAGTTCAGAGCACTTTAGTTAAAAGTACTTAAATGTAGACTGTTGCCATGGTAGATGATTGCCATTAACGCAAAAGTACTTGCTGCAGTAGAAAAAGAATTAGATTTAATTACCTACCTTTGGGTGAACTCCCTGAGCCTCCTGATCCAAAGCGCTTTGATTTGGAGCATGAGCTACAAACAAAACAAAAACACCCCAGTTTATTCTTTAATATTTCTGGTTATCATTTAAGAGATATTCATTGAGTCAAGTGGTGAACATGAACTCAGGTGAACTCTGTATGCCAAAAACAGATGTTAATTTTCCATAAAGGAAAATATTAAAATTTTTGTGTAGAGGAAGTGGAAATAGTTGTCTTCTAAGGGAAGGATATAAAATAAGTTTGTTTCCATTTGATTTTTTTAAACTCAAGAATTCAAAACCCAAGAATATATATATTCATATACATACATAATATATTTTATATGCACAAGTACAAATATGTACTTTTTAAAAACATGTAGATCCCTGGGGTTTGTATAGAGTAGTTTATTTCAGGGCAGCAGTGATATTAGGAACGGAGTGAAAGATGGGTAAAGCCTGGTGGGGAGTCATCTTGAAACCTATAATGATTAACATGGATACCAAATGGGGTTTTCTGAAGGGCTGACTGGGGTCCTCCAAGGCAAATAAGGAACGGGCTGTGCCTTACAGAAGGTGGAAGAGATAACCGCAGAGGCAAGAGGTGGGCACACTTCTCTGCAGTGGGAATGAAGAAGGAACGACTTGGAGGCATGAAACATGGATGGCCAGTCCATGGTTGTGGTTTAAAATAGGTAAAAACCAGGGGCGCCTGGGTGGCTCAGTTGGTTTAAGTGTCCGACTCTTGATTTCGGCTCAGATCATGATCTCGGGGTTCGTGAGTTCAAGCCTCACATCAGGTTCTGCACTGACAGTGCAGAGCCTGCTTGGGATTCTCTCTCTCTCCCTCTCTCTCTGCACCCCCCCCCCCCCCGCTCATGTGCATGCGTGCTCTCTCTTGCACTCTCTCTCAAAATAAATAAGTCAAAAAAAAATTAAAAATAAGTAAAAACTGGATTTTCAAATGGTGTTACTTACTTCCCGTCTCCATCTATCAGGCGGCAGTAGGTCTCAATTTCCTTTTCCAGGTGGACCTTGATGTCGAGCAGCTGCTCGTACTCCAGTTTCTGGCCCTCCGTCTCGGTTCGGACCTGGTGCAGCTGTTCCTCCAGGGCCCCGATCTGAGCCTGGATCTGGGCGAGCTGCGTGCAGTAGTTCCCTTCGGTCTCGGTCAGGGAGCACTCCAGGGACTGTTTCTGAGGGCAGAAGATGTCAGAGCAAGGATGAAGCCACTTTGAGGTCTATGCAGATCAGAGCTGCTCAGCACACGGCAGCACAGAGTGAGGTTTGGAAATCTTGGGGCTCGTCACAACCAGACAGGAGGCACAGAGGCAGGGGAAGTCACAGGCATTTACGGGGTGGGGGCCCGGGCATGCTGGATGACCTGATATAAATGGCCCTGTCCCACGAGACTTTGGACTGTTCCCGTGGACTTTTGTGCTATTTAGGCAATATTTGCTATCACGACCAACCTATATATTAATACTTTTTTGGGGAGATAGCACAAAAAGAAATCATATTGGAAATTTTATATTTTGAAATCACTTATTTATTTTGGGGTTGGTATTTGTTTTTCAATCTTATTCTGCTACTGTCTCCGGAGAGCTACTCTACCGCTGCCCCAAGGCCTTGTGTGCTGCTGTTTCTTTTTCTTCTCTGTCCCAGATTTGCTGTTGTTATTCAAAGGCCTTTTATGAAGCACTTGAGATTGAACGAATGCCTTAACAGGGGTGGGCTTTCAACACAAGGGATATATTTCATAACCCAGTACGGGTCATTATTTCCACACTACTCTTATGAGCATTATACCTCCTCCTTTCCACTTGAATACCCTGTCATTTGTCTGGTCACATGATTTCTACTTCAATTAAAGTAATTTTCCTCTTTCCCTTATCGTAGGTAAGGACATCTGGGTGGTCATTACTTCTCCTGATATTAGTTATTATCTGAGTGTCCACCCCCATTTCCACTCTTTCATTTTCCTTTTCTTCTCCTGATCTTACATTGTTTAAAACAAAATGTAGTTATCAAGGGAAGGTGCAAGCCTCTGTCTCTTTCATTACATGTTCTGGGATAGTTGGGCCCAAGTATTTTCATATTATATATATATTTAATTAAAAATACTTTTATGTTTCCTTTTTTTTTTTTTTTTGCTGTCATGGCATTATGGTAGTTTAAAAAATTTTTTGTATTGCTAAATATATCATCTATTCATTCTGAGGTAAAGAGGGAGTTATGAAATACTCGTCATCACAGGCAGACACGGATGGGGTTTGATGGGGCTAAGAACCACTGACCTAATGAATAGGCCAACTGGGGCATTACCTGGGTGGTGCTGGGCTCTCCGGGGCAAAGGAGTGGAGGGTGAACAGGATGGTATTGGGGAGGAGGAGGCACCGAGAGGCAAGACGTCAGCGAGGTGTGTGCTCTGTTGTTCGAAACTTTAATTTCCCTGAGGATGTGTCCTCAGGTGGTATTCCTTTTTAAGGGTGCTAATTCTCTTCTTAGTCAGAGGGGACAGCATCCCTATCTTTACAGCCTTCCACTGTAAAGGTTAGCTCGTAGATGACGAAGGAGGAACGGATGAACTTGCAGGTATGCATACTACAGGAAGCGTATGAAAAGTTTCTGTATTTAGACAACTCCCAACTTACATGTGATGTGTGTACTAAACTATAGACCATGCTTAGAATTCATCTTATGACAAAAGAATCTCAAGTATTGAAGTTATGTTCTATGCCACTATTATTCTATAATTCAGTTATGTTGTCTGTTAACATGGGCTTTTTTTTTTTTTTTTTTTTTTGGATTATCTCCTGAACCCAAACCGTGTCACTACTGGTTGCACAGAATGAACTACTTTCTAACATCATCTCCTACGTGAAAATGCTTCCATTTTGACCTGGGAACTCAGGACTTTATTTCTTTCAACATAGCTCAGAAACGAGAGGGAAGATTGTGCCCAGGGATACAGCAGCAAGAACACGTTGCCAAGAACGGGGATACAGGGTTCCAGTGGCAGGAAAGAAGGGAATAGGGAAGAGAAGAGGGCTCCAGGAGAGGCAGGGAGAGTGTCGGGAACCAGCCAGCAGTGGTGACCAGGGTCAGGAGAAGAGGGGCGCCCTGGTTAAGTTAGTCTCCAATCTAAACAGCATATAGTAAGAGAGCACGGCACCTTTCTAGGGTGGCTAAGTCAAAACAGTCTTCCTAGGGGCACCTGGGTGGCTCAGTCGGTTAAGTGTCTGACTTCGGCTCAGATCACGATCTTATGGTTTGTGAGTTTGAGCCCTGCATTGGGCTCTCTGCTGCCAGCACAGAGCCCGCTTTGGATTCTCTGTCCCCCTCTTTCTCTGTCCCTCCCCCTGCTTACCACTCTCTCTCTCAAAAATAAATAACCATAAAAAAAATAAAAGAATAGTCTTCCTATAGTTTTGAGTCATCTTTACCTTCTCTGCTCACTGCCCTCATTCGTATTAACAGGGGTTCTTTCCTTTGGGTTACAGCCTGGTGTCCTCAGGGAGCGTGAACCCCTGATGAGGACAGGGGCGCTTGGGCCACATGTATGTGGTAATTCTCAAAATCAAGCTTTTCGGGTGCTGCCAGCTCACACCCCAGAAGGGAAGCCCGTTTTAGCCCTGGCTCGTCTCCATGGTAACCTGGGAACTAACTGGCAGGAGGTGCCAGGGTGGCTGAAAGCCCAGCTCTGTGAGGTGGGTGGGGAGGACGAGGCTGATGGGGCTCATCGGGATTCAGATGTGCACCTTTTCCTCTGCGGGGTGAAAAGCACCACGCGGCATTCACTGGCTCCCTCAGTACCAGGAGATGCCGGTGACGCTAGGTCGGCCTTGTGTGGCCCCCTGACATTGGCCTGACACTTAGTTTTCAGGTAGGGCAATACTGCTGCCGCTGGCTCTGCGGGGCTTGAGGACTGGGCCGCGGGAAATGTGGGCTATTTTCACGAACCGGGCGCTGAGCCCCGGCCGGGAAGGAAACCCTCAGTGATCTCGGGGAGGAAGAAACGCTCTGTCTCTTTCTGCGGGTCTCAGTGTCTGTCTTCCTTGTTCTCGTCCGCTCTAAGTATTTGTAGGTAAAGCAAAGCTCTAACAGGGAAGGAGGGCTTCGGTTAGAGTCGCGACCTGCAGGCCGACCCGCGCCCTCGCCTACCATTGCCAGGAGCGACTGCAGCTCGATCTCCAGGGTCTGCAGGCTGCGCTTCATGTCGGTCAGCTCGCTCCTGGCCGAAGTGGCCGCGCCCGCGTGGTCGGAGATCTGCTGCTGCAGGGTGGCGCTCTGGAAGGCGGGGTGCAGAGGGGTGAGCGGGCCTGCGCCCACCTGGCAGGGCTGGGGCGTGGGGGTGGGGGTGGGGGTGGGGGTGGGGGGGGGGGGCGGCCTCACCTTCTCGTTGAACCAGGCCTCCGCGTCCCTGCGGTTCTGCTCGGCCAGGTCTTCGTACTCGGCCCGCATGTTGTTCAGCAGGACCGTGAGGTCCACGCCGGGCGCCGCGTTCATCTCCACGTTCACGTTCCCGCCCGCCGCGCACTGCAGGGCCTGCATTTCCTGCAGGGAGACGATAACGTGACCCTGGGGCAGTTCATGTGCCGTGCGCGCGTGTGACTGCTTCTCCGCGCTCTAGGCTGTGGCCTGACTTCCCAGCCCTCCACCCTGTGACTCTTCCCTCTCCGCGTTTCTCTTTTCATGTTTACTTTCCTTCCCCCCTCGCCCCCCCCCCCCATTCTCCCCTTTGGGACAGCTAGATTTGGTGGTGTTTTAGGCGTTTCTGTCATGTCATAGAGTTGTTGTTGTTGTTGTTTTTTAATCTTTCATCCATTGTTTTGGGGACTATTTTGGGGAGATAACCATAAAAAAAAAAGGCATATGAAGCTGCCTGGTGTAAGGTGTCAAATAATGGGTTTATTATTGTGCAGGGTTCAACATTAAAGCCAGGCTCACTAAGTGGAGAAAACAGTGACATCTTTTCCAAGTCAGAGAGGTCTTTAGTGAGGTTAACCTCAAGATAAGTTTTTATGAATGAAAGAAATAAATGTAGTGCAAACAAAAAGGGGTGTATTAGTGCAAAAGCAATGTACCAATTTCAGAAGGATAGAATATTCTATCAGCCTAAAAAATGGAAGGGTACAGATCAAATGCTTAATATTTATTACCTCGGGAGACGAGATCAGAAGGGCAGAGAGTGGGAGAAAGAAAATTCTTTCTTTATAAATGCCTTGGCATTGGTTGATTATTGTAATGAGTACGGAATACTGTTGTAATGCAATGCCACCCCCCAAAGTATTTAAGATGTACAGAATGGCGGTTTTACTAGAAGTAAAGCTTCTCCTACCTCTTCGTGGTTCTTCTTGAGGTACCTCAACTCTTCGCTCAGGGATTCGTACTGCAGCTCCTGGTCGGTCCTGCAGAGCGTCAGTTCGTCTAGGACTCTCCGCAGCCCGTTGATGTCAGCCTCTGTGTTTTGGTGAAGGGCGAGCTCATTTTCATACCTTGGGGGGCATTAAATGAATTTCAACACAAGTTAGACTCTCTCAAGAGGCAGGAAAATAGAACCTCAATTGCTTTAAGCTGAACACTGGAAATTGAATTGGGACTCAAAATGTTATAAAAGTGTACATGGAAAGCCTTCCTTCACTCCTCTCTTATCCAGTTCTGTGTAGGATAATCGGCATTTATTTAGTGACACAAATTCTGATAGCGGATCCCAATAAAATCAAAATTTGCCATTGTATTATTTTTATTATTTAAAAATTTTTAAAATGTTTTTTTTTAATTTTTGAGACAGAGGGAGACAGAGCGTGAGCGGGGAGGGGCAGAGAGAGAGGGAGACACAGAATCTGAAACAGGCTCCAGGCTCTGAGCTGTCAGCACAGAGCCCGACGCGGGGCTTGAACCCACGAACCGTGAGATCATGACCTGAGCTGAAGTCGGAGGCTCAACCGACTGAGCCACCCAGGCGCCCGCCATCTTATTATTTTTATTAAATTGTTTTTATGTTTATTTATTTTTGACACAGGGAGAGAGAGAGAGGGAGGCAGAGCGTGAGTGTGGAGGGGAAGAGAGAAAGGGAGACCCAGAATCCGAAGTAGGCTCTAAGCTCTGAGCTATCAGCACAGAGCCCAACGTGGGGCTGGAATTCATGAACAGCAAGATCATGATCTGAGCTGAAGTCGGACACTTCACTAACAACTCAGGTGCCCCCAAATATGCCATATTATTTATTTTTAATTTAATTAAAAAAATTTTTTTTGCCATTTTAGAATTTTATCTTAGTTACTCGTTTTCCTTACTTGATGCATATTTTATGAACATCTACTTTGTGCTTGGCTCTATTCCAGGCAGGCCTAGAAATACAGTGATGTTTTGCCTCAAGAATGTAATAAATATGTATAAATTTTGAGCATAGCTGATTGTAATATTATAATGTGCTTTGTGCCATATGGTATTGTAGTATTATAACATGCATTACTTCCTATCATCTTTCAGAGTGTATACTCCTTGGGATAAAATTGAAATGTTATTTAGCATATTAAATAGACAGGAAACATTTTCTCGAGAGTGATTGTTTTCCATCACTTACTTTAGCCGGAAGTCATCCGCAGCCAGTCTGGCATTGTCAATATGCAGAATTATGTTAGCGTTAGCAATAGTGGAAGAGATAACCTAGAAGCCAAAAGGGAGGACAGGACAAATACGCCAGCTCTTATAATTTCTCAGCAAATAAAAAATTTGACACCATTAACTTTGCATAAAAGTCCTATTTCCTTAAGTAACAGCCAAAATACTTAAAATTTTAATTAAAAAATTACAAATATGGTTATTTCTTCTCCTATACTCATATAACTTTTAGAATGTGACACTTATCAGTAAATATATTTCAAAACTGGCAACATTAAAAAAAATTTTTTTTAACATTTATTTACTTCTGAGAGAAAGAGGGAGAGAGACAGAGGCATGAGTGGGGGAGAGGCAGAGAGAGGGAGACACAGAATCCGAAGCAGGCTCCAGGCTCTGAGCTGTCAGCACAGAGCCCGACACGGGGCTGAAACTCACGGACCTGGAGATCATGACCTGAGCTGAAGTCGGACGCTTAACGGACTGAGTCACCCAGGCGCCCCACTAGTAACACTTTTTTAAATACATTTTTTAAAAAGTTTATTTATTTATTTTGAGAGAGAGAGGGAAGGTGAGCAGGAGAGAGAGAAAGAGAATCCCAGGCAGGCTCCACATTGTCAGCACTGAGTCTGACGTGGGGCTCAAACTCACAAATTGTGAGATCATGACCTGAGCTGAAATCAAGAGTCAGACACTTAACGGACTGAGCCACCCAAGCACCCCCCCGACAAACCTAGTAACATTTAAGTTACTTGAAAACCATGATTCAAAGTGCGTATTTTTGACTAATAGGAAGAATGTTTTATCAAAAGAAATAATAAATATGATATCAATGACAGATAACAGTTATGAGGCATTTCCTGTTCTAGTTTTATGTCTTTGGGTAGGCAATTCTTAGTTTTAAATACTTGGAGTATTTCCAAATTTGTAATTTCTCACCTTATTCTTAAGTTCTTCAATTATCTGGTAGTATCTGCTATAGTCATGATCAAGTCCACGGCAAGATCCAGGCCCGTATTTTTCATACCAGCCCTTGATTTTTCTCTCTAGTTCGGCATTTGCCTCCTCCAGAGCTCGCACGTTTCCCAGGTAGGATGCCAAGCGGTCGTTAAGATTCTGCATGGTCACCTTCTCATTCCCGGACAGAAGTCCCCCTTGACTTCCAGCAAAGCCAGCACAAGCAGCGTTTCCAAGGACGCCACCAGCATGGTTCCCCCCAGGGACATTGCCCAGGCCCCCTCCCAAGGCACAGGAAAATCCACTTCCAGCCACAGAACTGCCACATGCATTGCTGCCTGCAAAGCCTAAGCCTCCACTGGATGGTCTGACAGACCCAGCTCCAGACCATAAGCAAATATGCCTAGACCCACTAGAAAATCGGAGAGACATGATAGAACGAGAAACGTTCACCCTGTCTGGAAGAAGATAGGTGTAATTTCAAAGGAGAACAGAATATCATGTGCTGATGGTGTCTTTGGGCTTTTATACACAATTGTTGGGGTGTTTCTATTTGAGTTATGCATGCCAGAAGAGAAATGGCATCATTCAGATTAGCAGGAAATTATGTATAATTAGGTAATTTTTTTTTTTTTTTTGTAAATTGATGTCTAACATCCCTGGCTGTTGCTTTGGGGTATTTGTTATCTTAAATGTAACAGGGTTAGTTCTATATTAAGTTCATTATTTTAACTTCTAATTTTGGGTGAGTAATCCTTTACTTTCATCTAGGCCCTAGGAATATACCGTCATTATCTGGCACCAGATATCGTAAAGTTTTAAAAGTTAAGTAAGATTGTGATAGGGTACCATCAGCTACAGTAGGGTCTTAATTACCAGGGAGGTATATAAAGAGGTATTCAAAGGTATATAAAGAGGTATATATTAAGTCAAGGAACACATATTTCATCCCACCATAGCAAAAAAAAAAATTGTGTTATTAAAAATAATATGATCCTTGTAACTTCTCTGGTCTTACCATGATTATAACACCTATTTATTACCTTGAACAATGACATAAATATTGACTGATTCCTTTATTTAATGCATAAATAGCTACTATATCTGGTGTTCAAAGCTGAATATAGAAATGAAGACATAATGGGAAGTAAATGCAGAGGTGCATGGGCACAGTCTTTAAGAAATGTATGGTCAGGATCAGGCAGAAGCTGGATTGTGTTTAACCTTCTGCGTCAAAGAGTTTGGAATGACTGGGGGTGTGTGGGGGGAGTGCGAGCGGGTCCAGCTGAGAGGGCAGGAGAGATGAGCAAGAAGTGACCTGAGAAGCCTCCTCTTGAGGTGGTGGCCAGGAAGCTGGGGGTGAAGAAGGTGGAGAGGATAGGAAAAGGAGGGGTAGAAGGGATTTGGTTGGGCTGGACTGGTTCCAGGTTCTGTGGTGAAGACAGGTATAGAATTGTTTTGCCCCAGGACAGTTCTGTCTTCTGGAACTGTGTTGGCATAAGCGGTCTGAAGCCTGGTCATCTGGCACTGTGGCTGTCATCGGCCTGGCATTTAAATGTATTTTCTGGGCAAAGTTGTGGGATTTGTTTCGAGCTGCAAAAGGCCTTAGATATTACCTAATTCAGCCCCTTTGTCAGATGAGGCCACTGAGACCCACAAATGTTAAACAATTTGTTCAGAGTCACCAGGCACATGCCAGGTGAAGGCTTGGCGCATGTTCTAGAAAGCCTTGAGATTCTGGCACCATGAGCGTATTTTATTTTACCTAGTTATTTATTTTAATTTGCTTAATGTTCACTTTTGAGAGAGAGAGGAGGGGAGAGGGTGCATGTGCACGAGCCGGGGAGGGGCAGAGAGAGAGAGAGAGAGGGGGGGACAGAGGATCCAAAGCGGGCTCTGCACTGACAGCAGCAAGGCCTGATGCTGGGCTTGAACTCATGAACTGCAAGATCATGACCTGAGCCGAAGCTGGATGCCTAACCAATTGAGCCACCCAGGTGCCCCTTATTGATTGATTTATTTTTAAAATATTTATTTGTTTATTTTGAGAGAGAGAGAGAGAGAGAGAGAGAGAGGGAGAGAGAACATGCATACATGAGCAGGGAAGGGGCAGAGAGAGAGAGGGAGAGAGAGAATCCCAAGCAGGCTCCCCAGTGTCAGTGCAGAGACGGGCGTGGGGCTCTATCTCACTAACTGTGAGATCATGTGACCTGAGCTGAACTCAAGAGTCAAATGCGTAGCTGACTGAGGTACCCAGGTGCCCCATCATAAGTGTATTTTAGATACAAACAATTTCTCTAAATTATCTATGCCCATGCAAATACTTATTTTATATATTGCCATCGATAGTCTTATCATGTTGTATTGTCAAATTATTCTTTTGAGTTATTGAATTATTGGAATTAAAATATTAAAGAATTAGAATATCAAAACATGAAGAATTGAAAATCTCTTCAGTGCCTAATTATTAACTGTAAATAATAATTAGACAAATTATTGGTGTAATGTGTATGTATCCTGCAGATGTAAAAAAAAATTCCAAAGGACATTTTGTGACAAAAGAAGGAAAGAAGCTATTTTTTAAAAAAAAGCTTAAGGTGAAGGGTGCCTGGGTGGCTCAGTCGGTTAAGCGTCTGACTTCGGCTCAGGTTGTAATCTCACGGTTTGTGTGTTGGAGCCCCGCATCCGACTCAGAGCCTGGAATCTGCTTCAGATTCTGTGTCTCCCTCTCTCTCTGTCCCTCTCCCGCTCATGCTGTGTTTATCTCTCTCTCTCTCTTTCTCTCTCTCTCTCAAAAATAAACGTTAGAAAAAAAACTTTTTTAAGCTTAAGTGGAAATAACCCGTTTCCTTGGCGATCCCAAATTGTTCACCGCAATTGTCCCTGCCCTTCTATTTCCACCAGGGGGCAGCGCTCACCTGCAAATGGATGTAGTTCGGAGCAGAAGCACCACTTCAGCCTGGGTCTCACATGCCTGCAGCTGGAAACTATTAGACCCCTGGTATGAAGCAACCTCAGCGTTTATCTTCTCAAAGTTCCAGAGAACGATGAGTATAAAGACAAGATTTCCTTACATTTATATGGTGCTTTACAGCTTCCAGGGGGATTTCTTGTACATGATCTCATTTGATCCTTATAATGAATCTGGGAATTAAGAAAAGTGGTCTCCTTCCTCTGGTTTAAAGATGAGGAAACTGAGGACAGAGACTGTTCAAGGATACACAGCATGAAACATGGTGAGTCAGGTCAGAATGGGTCTTGTGATTCAGTGTGGTGGTCCTTTCATTAAATAGTTGTCCTAAAGTCAGACGAAAAATAACTCAGACGATGCCCAGATCTCTCTTTAAATGGAAAACATAAGCTGATTTCTTACAAAATTGTTTCAAGAATTTCTAGTTAATAGTAAAATGAAACTTCTGACTGTAGTCATGCTGCCTATCGGATGTCATTCAGTTATGTTGTTGTTCATTCAAGAAGGATTTAATGAGCACCTACAATGTACAGGGCACTATATCGGTAGCAGGGCATCCAGAAGGAAGACAATAAGTGCCTCCCAAGCTTTATTGTGAAGAATGCTGCTGTGAACATGGCACACACAAATATCTCTTCAAGACCTTAATAGCAATTCTTTAGACTTTAGACCCGGAAGTGAAATTGCTGGATCATACGGTAATTTTGTTTTTTTATTTTTTTAATTTTTTTTTTCAACGTTTATTTATTTTTGGGACAGAGAGAGACAGAGCATGAACGGGGGAGGGGCAGAGAGAGAGGGAGACACAGAATGGGAAACAGGCTCCAGGCTCTGAGCCATCAGCCCAGAGCCTGACACGGGGCTCGAACTCACGGACCGCGAGATCGTGACCTGGCTGAAGTCGGACACTTAACCGACTGCGCCACCCAGGCGCCCCGGTAATTTTGTTTTTAATGTTTTGAGGAGTCATCGTTCTGGTTTCTGCAGCCCCTGTCCCATTTTTCATTTCCATCAGGAGGGCACAAAGGTTCCAGTTTCTCCACAACCTTGCCAACACTTGCTATTTTCTATTTCATTTTTTAAGTAGGCTCCAAGCCCAGTGCGGGGCTTTAACTCATGTCGCTGAGATCAAGAGTCAGATGCTTAACTGACTGAGCCACCCAGGTGCCCCCCTCCCTTTTCTTGATGGTAGCTTTCCTAATGGGTATGAAATGGTATCTCATGGTAGTTTTGATTTGCATTTTTCTAATGATTAGTGATGTTGGGCATCTTTTTATGTGTTTACTGGGCATACCCCATTTGCTTTTGTCTTTACAACTGCTTTCAATCTACAGAGATGCATTTTGGTGCCCTTTGGTTTTCTAAAGATTTATTTGTTTATTTATTTAAGTAATCTCTACACCCATCGTGGGACTTGGACTCATGACCCTGAGATCAAGAGGTGCATGCTCTACCAACTGAGCCAGCCAGGCGCCCCTGGTGCCATTTTGTTTTCTAGTCTTCCCCTCAAATTTCTTACTTTAGGAAACCTTACAGAGGCTCTATAGATCAAAACTTTAATGAGAGTTCCTCTTCCAAAAAGGTCATTAGCTTTGTCCTGGCTCTGCTAGCCTGTGAACCTGTATATTCACGCTTTTCAAGCATTTCTCCTGAGATAACATATTCTGAGTAGGAAAGGTTAATCAGAAGCCTGGTATGTGATTTTTTCTTGGCTAAGATCCTGAAGGACAAAGCTATTTTCAGAACACTATTCAAATTCTTCCCCCAGGTAATGCCCAATATTTGTACTAATTCACAATTATTCTCTTTCTAACTGCTGCTAGGCTGCAAAGATCTCTTATGCAGTGTTGGGGTTATGAGATGATGTTTGTGTTTTTATTTAGAGACACTGAAAATCAATGTGACAACTCAAAGTGTTCTTCCTCCTTTGGCATGGCTTTCTGTGGGACAACCTGGTTCAAAAAGTATCCGTAAGAAATATCCTTGATACCTGGTTTCCAGGCTGGACTTATTTTTGTTGTGATAACTCGTTTCTCTTTGTCATT